CTGCTCAGCAGGAGGCCTGCTTCTCCCTCTCCCACTCCCCCTGCTTGTGTTCCCTCTCTTGCGGTCTCTCTCTGTCAAATAAATAAATAGAAAGCTCTTAAAAAAAAAGAAATGCCAATTCAGTTATGACTGAGTCAGTAACTGAGCTACCACTTTTATCTTCTCCAAAATTCTCCTGTTACAAGATAACTTTCACTGACCTCAGCAATTTCACTGAGAAACAGCCTTTAAAAAATAGCACTGGGTACCCAAACTTACTTATAGTACATCACAAAGCTTTCCCCGGTGTTGAGGTTCAGGTAGCTGTAATACGGATCTCCATACTGCAGCTGTGCTCCAATAAATGGCAATCCATCATCATCTAACTTCTGCAAAATCCGTGGGTCACCAGGTTTGACTCCAAACACCAGACTATCATCTCCTTGTTTAATTTTTTCAGAGAGATCTATGAACTCAGACTTGTAGACACTTCCATGGGCAAAGCCTCGTTCCCAGGAGGCCTTATTCACGATCTACAAGGTCAAAGAATCATTAATTCAAGAGACTGAGGTCAAATGGGGATTTTCACAATAAAAATGGTTAGAATTAAAATACTTGGTTTAGGATAACTGGCATTCTAATTTAAAAACTCCAAATTTTCAGGAGTGCCTGCGTGGCTCAGTCGGTTAAGCATCTGCCTTTGGCTCAGGTCCTGATTCCAGGACCCTGGGATCGAGCCCCTCGTCAGGCTCCCTGCTCAGCGGGGAGTCTGCTTCTCCCTCTCCCTCTGCCCATACCCACCACTTGTGCTCTCTTATGCTCTCTCTCTCGCAAATAAAACTGTAAACAAAACACTCCACATTTTCCAAGCCACCTACACTACTAAAACCCACTTATAAATGGCTTAAAACCTAATTATGCATAAATATAAAAGGTAGATATATCCAAGACTACATTCATTCAACATCTACTCATACTATGCACTCAAGTATGCACAATATATGCATATCTGAATATTTAGTGAATATCCCTCAGGGCTTGCCACTTTCAATGGAGACGAGCAATTAATCATTTAACAGAACACTCATGCACCAGGACGTAGAAAAACAGTAAACAAAAAAGTTACAAATTAAAAGGAATGGAACTACATCTCTTGGTAGAACTTACCATGGCATCTTCCATATCGTAGCCAGTGTAAGAAATAACAGCAACGATGGCATTTGTCCCAATTGGATAGTTATCCATGTCATAATAATCATACATGTATGGTCTTACTAAAGGGCTTTGTGGAGTCTGAAGACGGTACAGTTTATTATCTGACCGAGCTTGGTAAGTGAGAAGTGGAAAGCCCATGGTTTGCTTCCCTACAAAGGGAAAAAAAACTTTAGCATCTTGTTTGTTTCCCTTGATTATAAAGGTCATATATAAAATTCGAGGGGTGCCTGGTGGCGCAGTTGGTTAAGTGTCTGCCTTCTGCTCAGGTCATGATCCCAGGGTTCTGGGATCAAGCCTCACATCAGACTCCCTACTGAGTGGGGAGTCTGCCTCTCTCTCTGCCTCTCACCCCACTCTCTCTCTCTCTCAAATAAATAAATAAAATAAAATAGGAAACAGTAAAACATTCATCATAGGGGAATGAATAAATCAATCGTGGCAGACTAATACACAGCATGAAAATAAAGCAGAACCACATGTATGTATGTAACCAGACCATGAAAACAATGCTGAGTGGGGAAAAAGCACAGAATGACATTTAATATTGTATGATTTATGTACATTTGTAACACATTCCAGACAATTCCATAGTTTGTGGACATGTGTATAATATAAGAAAAGCATAAAAAGGGGATAATAAAGGATATATATAAACTACAGGGTATTACTAGTGGAGGAAGAAAAGGGGTGAAAAGGGGACAGTAACTATTATTAGATTATTTTCTTACACAGAGCAAAATGTCAGTATTTGTTAATTCTGGGTATGGGGTACAGAGGGTAGGGAAGTCTTCTTTCTACTACATTACATTATAAAGAATCAATCTGAAATAAAATGATTTTTAAGATTAAATACATATATATGTGCATTTTAAAATACCGAAAAGGAGACTTCCAGCTTTCAGTAATAGAAGGCTACTCCTACAAGACCACCCTCAGCACGTAAGATCCAGAACAATACAAAACAAAAAATCACCACATGGGCACACGCACACACACACACACACAATCTGAAAGCACTGGAGAGTAACCAAAAGGGGTCAGGAACTGGAGAGGAATTTATACTTGGACAAAAGAAACGGAACGGCGTGAACTACTAGCTTTTTCAGTTTTTAATGTTTTTGTTTCTTTTGGCCTGATGGTCCAGTCACTACAGTGGCTACAACCTAGATAAAAACCTACAGTTTTACTGGCTTGAAGAGCCAAGGAATAGAGTTCAGAGCACAACAGCAACTGGAAAGTAAGGGGGGACATTTTAGAAAGGGAAGAACCATAAAGGGAGAGCCTTAAATTCTACATATAAACTGAGTCCAAATCTTTGGTGGACTGAACTATGCATGCACGGGACAGATCTAAGCAGCCCACCTAAGACTAAAAGAACTTCAACTGCTGTATTTAGATATCAGTTAAATCTAAAAACCAATCCTCTTCAAAGGAACATAATAGAACCCAGAGTCTTAAAACCTATCATTCACAATGTTCCTGATATGATCCAATAGTACCAGAAATACAAAGAAACAGGAAAACATAACCCATACTCAAGAAAAATGTAATCAATGGAGATTGATCCCGAGACGACCCAGATGTTGGAATTAGCGGGGCACCTGAGGGGCTCAGGTCATGATCCCAGGGTCCTGGGACCAAGACCCACATTGGGCTCCCTGCTCAGCAGGGAGTCTGCTTCTCCCTCTCTGTGTATGCAAGCTCTCTCAAATAAATAAATAAATAAATCTTAAAAAAAAAGATGTTGGAATTAGCAGACTTTTTTTTTTTTTTTAATTTTTTTCAGACAACAGTTTTTAAACACCTGTTACAACCATGCTCAAAAACATAAAGGAGGGACACCTGGGTGGCTCAGTCGGCTAAGCGTCTGCCTTCGGCTCAGGTCATGATCCCAGGGTCCTGGGATAGAGTCCCACATCGGGCTCCCTGCTCAGCGGGAAGCCGGCTTCTCCCTCTGCCTGCCGTTCCCCCTGCTTTGCTCGCTTGCTCTCTTCTCTCTCTCTCTGACAAATAAATAAAATCTTTAAAACAAACAAAACAAAAACATAAAGGAAAATATGTTCACAAAGAAAACAACAATCTCTGAGAAAACAAACTATAAAAAAGAAACAAATGGAAACTGTAGGCTGAAAAATTAAATATCTGAAATAGAATGAAAAGTCAGTGAGGGTAATGATAGATCAATAAAAATGATCCAGTATGAAGAGAAAGAAAACAAAGCGGGTGCCTGGATGGCTCAGCCGGCTAAGCATCTGCCTTCAGCTCAGGTCATGATCCCGGAGTTCCGGGATCGAGTCCCACATCAGGCTCCCTGCTCCACAGGGAATCTGCCTCTCCCTCTGCCCTTTACCCTGCTCGTGCTCTCTCTCTCACAAATAAATAAAATCTTTAAAAAAAAAAGAAAGAAAGAAAACAAAGGAAAAAAGAGAACAGAAACCCAGTGGCTTACAGGGCAATTATCAAAAGGTTTAACATAGATGATGCATGCTGAAAACTCAAGAGGAGGTCAAAAGCAGTGCTTTTAGAAATAATGACAGATAACTACAAATTTGATGAAACCTTTTAAAACAGATTTTAGAAGACCAGTAAGCCCCAAGCACAAAGAGCATCATATCTAGGCATATCATACTCAGTCAGCTACAAACCAGATATAAAGAGAAAATCTTAAGGATGGGAAAATAACACATTATATACAAGCAAACAATGACACTTATAACCACTGACTTCTAGCACAAATGACAGAGACCAAGAAGTGACTCAGTAATATCTCTTAAGTGCTGAAAAAATATAACTGTCAAATCAGAATCGTACATCCAGTTCCAAGTGAAGATCAAACAGAGACATTTTCAGAGAAATAAAAACTAAGAGGATTTGTAGCCAGCAACCTAAACTATAAAAAAAGTGCTAAAGGAAGGTTTTCAGGCTCAAGGGATACGACACTCAATGGAAACCGGAATCATCAGGCAGGCAGGCAGAGCACCAGCAGTGGTGAAATGTGGGTGATGACAACGGCCTGTGTTCCTCAAAAATCAAATCACAAGATCTCAGACAAATCCAAATCGACAAACATTCCACAAAATAAATTACCTTTTTGTTCAAGGTACAAAAAGGTCAAAAATGTCAAAAATGACAAAGGCTAAGGATCTAATTTAAAAGACTAAAGAGACTCAACAACTAAATGCAACGTGTGATCCTGGATTAGGTGCTACACAGAAAAAATTTGCCATAAACCATATTTTTGGGACAATCAGTCAAAATGTGAGTAAAGACTATAAAGCAGTATAATGACACCAATGTTAAACTTCCTGATGTTAATACTTGCCCTTGTAATATGCAAGGGAACACCCTTACTGTTAGGAAATACACATGAAATACTTAGGGGTAAAGGGGCATCGTGTCTGCAACTTACCTCCAAATGGAAAGCGGTGCACATGGGACAAAACGTTAAGAGAATCTACATAAAGGGCTTATAGGAGTTCTCTGTACTGTGCTTGCAACATTTCTCTGAGTTTGAAATTATTTCACAATAAAAAAGTTACAGGCACCTTTCTTGTGTGAATACCACCGCCCTCCACCATCTTACCCATCTGGCACTGGTACATGTTCCGAGGACTCTGGTTGTGATCGGAGAAAGGGATGAAGTTGGCGATCACACTCAGCAGGCTGTGAGGGAAGAGCTCCTGGTGAGTGGTAACTCCTGCCAAAACCTCATCCTCAAAGATGGCAACGTTCATGAAGATCTGGAAAAGAGGAAGGACGAGGAAGTTCAAGGCATAGAATAACTGAGAACGTATTAACTCGTCCTATCTCTCAGAGTTTAGGACCCAAAGACTAGAACAAAAACCTTCCCCACTCAGCATCATGAACACTGATGGGATCCAATGGGAAGCTTCCAGTCAGAAATACTGTCTGCTTGACACATTTCATTCTAAATCCACCCTGGTCCAACCGTAAAGGACAGGAAGAAAGACATTTTGAAGTAGCACGAAGCCCACAGTTTTGCAACTGTGAAGATGTAGGCAAAAATTGTGAGTCTAATGGAATGTTCCCACCTCACCACCTGAGGCAGAGCCAGGCACAAAGGAGCTGGGCAAGATGGGAAGGCAAGTAATGTGACCACCAATCCTCTCTCTAGATGTGCGAGAGGTCACAGAGGAGGCAGAAAGTAAGTTCTGATTTTCTTTCAAATGCCCAACTGTTACTAAACAATGACAACACTTTCTTTATAAAAAGTTTTTTGTTTTTTTTTTGAGAGAGAGCACATACGCAGGGGGAGGGGCAGAGAGAGAGAGGGAGAGAGAATCTGAAGCAGACTTCCTGGTGAACATGGAGCCTGATGCGGGGATCGATCCCACAACCCTGAGATCATGACCTGAACCGAAATCAAGAGTTGGACTGAGCCACCCAGGCACCCCGGTAACACTTTTAAAAAACAGTGGTTGGGGCGCCTGGGTGGCTCAGTTGCTTAAGTGTCTGCATTTGGCTCAGGTCACGATCTCAGGGTCCTGGGATCGAGCCCCAAGTTGGGCTCCCTCCTCAGTGGAGAGCCTGCTTCTCCCTCTCCCTCTGCTACTCCCTGTGCTTGTGTTCTGTCAAATAAATAAATAAAATCTTTATTAAAAAAACAAAAAACCAAAACACAGTGGTTATTAAGTCTCCGAAAGTTGTATACTACACAAGCACACAGAGGAACCAATCACAGTGCTCTACGAACCTGCTCCATAGTTCCAATTAGTTCTTCTCTGCCTAATTCCAAGTTCTGCACAGGCCGCACCAGTCTACAAGGAGTGGTAAACAGGAATAATCCCGGGTAGAGACTTGGTTTTCCTGTCATGGGGATAAGGGCCACTTCCATCCAGGGAGGAATTCTTTTTTCTCTCAACACCTGTTTTCAACAAAAAAAGAGTTCAATTAAGAAGCAGTGATGGGGGCGCCTGGGTGGCTCAGTTGGTTAAGCGACTGCCTTTGGCTCAGGTCGTGATCCCAGGGTCCTGGGATCGAGCCCCGCGTCGGGCTCCTGGCTCAGCGGGGAGCCTGCTTCTCCCTCTGACCCTCTCCTCTCTCATGCTGTTTCTCTCTCACTCGCTCTCTAATAAAATAAATAAATAAAA